CTTTTATTTAATATTTATTCTCGATATATTCCAAACCCCCCATTATTTCATTGAGCACAAAAGTTAAACTAGTTATTCCTCGTGGGATCGATCCTTACTCCCGCTACTACGTTTGTAAGGTTTTAATTTGGGAGCCTATGACAGCTCACCAAATTTTGGCGCCGTTGCCGGGGAGATTTTCTAGCTTATTTTGTGTTTGTTTATTTATTTAATTATTTATTTTGTTATTTGTTTATTTGTTTTTCAATTTGTCCCAAACGAAAATAAAAATAATAATTTTCTTTTCTTTCATTACTTTTACATAATTGCAAATCAATATATATTTTCTTTTTGTTTATGCCTATAACTCGATATGCTAATCAAGAACTCTTGCCGTACTATCCGGAAATTGAAAGAACTATACGCAGGTGGAAGAAACAAGCTTTGAGAAAATTGGAGTTTAGTGATCTGGCTACCGATTCTACCGATTCTACCAATTCTGATTTAGAAGAGGAACCCATGGCTCAAAATCGGACTTTAAAAGAGCTTGGAGCTCCAAATTTGGATCAGCAACCTTTATGCATTACTTTCCCCGCTCTGGATGCTAATATACAATTTGAACTAAAATCTGGGTTAATTCATCTTTTGCCTTCTTTTCATGGACTTGCAGGTGAAGATCCGCACAAACACTTAAAGGAATTTCATGTGGTGTGCTCGAGTATGAAACCCACAGGGGTTACTGAAGAACAAATCAAGTTGAGAGCCTTTCCCTTTTCGTTGAAAGATTCAGCGAAGGATTGGCTATACTATCTACCTTCTGGGAGCATCACCACATGGAATAACTTAAAGACATCATTCCTTGAAAAATATTTCCCAGCTCCAAGGGCGGCCAACATTAGGAAAGAAATCTGTGGTATAAGGCAAAACAATGGAGAGTCCCTGTATGAATATTGGGAGCGTTTCAAGAAACTATGTGCAAGCTGCCCACACCATCAAATTAGTGATCAATTACTCATTCAGTATTTTTATGAAGGACTTTTTCCTATGGATAGAAGCATGATTGATGGCGCAAGCGGTGGTGCTTTAGTTGACAAGACACCGGACGCTGCGAGAACTCTAATTGCAAACATGGCTGCAAATTCTCAACAGTTTGGCAATAGACTTGTCCAACCGTCTAAGCAAGTGAATGAGGTAAATATTTCTGCTCTTGAACAACAAATTTCTGGTTTAACTACTCTTGTTCGTCAATTAGCTGTAGGCAATATGCAAACTGTAAAAGCATGTGGAATTTGCTCGGTAGTTGGGCACCAAACTGATGCCTGCCCAACTCTTCAAGAAGTTGAACAAGTCAACATGGCTGGAGGTTTTCCTGGACAACCTCAAGGTAAGTATGATCCATTTTCTAATAAATATAATCCTGGATGGAGGGATCACCCGAACCTTAGCTATGGGAACTCACAAGGGAACCAGTTTGTTCAGAATCGTTCCAATTTTCAACAGTATAGACAACAATTTCCTTCCAGCCAACAACCAGCCCAAAGCTCTAGCTCAGGTATGAATCTAGAAGATATTGTTAAAACTCTTGCTACTAACACTTTGCAGTTTCAACAAGAAACACAACTATTCCAACAAGAGACAAGAGCTAGTATTCAAGAAACAAAGGTTAGTATTCAAAACTTAGAAAGGCAAGTGGGCCAAATAGCAACTACGGTAAGTCGGTTGGAAGCACAGAGTTCCGCCAAACTACCATCTCAAACGGTGGTTAATCCAAAAGAGAATGTAAGTGCAATTAGTGTTGAAAGTATGTCGTTGGAAAAGAATGTTGATTTAAACAAGGAAATAAGTGCATGAATCATTGCCAACAATAAAGAGAAGTCCCAAGGTAAGCTTTCCTCTTTTTCTGATTATGAACCAGTACCCCCATTTCCTCAAGCTCTTTTAGAACCAATAAGAGGAAACTCAAATAATGATCTGTATGAGACCTTTCGTGAATGTGAGACTAATAAACCATTTTTAGATTCTATGGAAAAAGTACCTCGCTATGCAAATTTTCTAAAAGAGGTACGCACTATGAAAAAGAAACGAAATGATGAAAGAATTGAGGAAGTGAAAGTGCAAGAGAATGTCTCTATGGCTAGTCAAAGCAATCTTCCTGAAAAGTGCAAAGACCCCGGTATGTTTACTATTCCATGCATGATAAGTGGGGTGAAATTTGAAAATGCTATGTTAGATTTAGGAGCTTCTATTAATGTCATGCCATATTCTGTTTATGCTTCTTTAAATCTTGGACCCCTGCGTAAATCTAGTATAATAATTCAATTGGCTGATGGATCTACTACATATCCTAGGGGTGTGGTTGAGGATTTGCTTGTTAAAGTTAATAACTTGGTTTTTCCTGCTGATTTTTATGTCCTTGATATGGAAAATAATAATCAAATTTCTCATATTTTGTTAGGAAGACCATTTTTAAAAACCGCAAAAACGAAAATTGATATTCATAGTGGCATGCTTACAATGGAGTCTAATGGTAAATTTGTGAACTTTAATATTTATGATACCATGAAATCTCCTAGTGATGATAATTTTGCAATTTTTGTTGATTCCTTGAAACTTGTTAAATTTAATGCAATTGCTTCTATTGAAAATAAAGAAGAACCAAATAATAAATCATCTTTGAGTCCTAATCTGCATGAAGGGGCTGTTTCTTTGAATACTCATAATCATCGAAGGTACTCAAAAAGACGATGGAAATTTAAAGATATATCATAAGTCGAGCCAACGACGATAAACAAAGGCGCTGCTTGGGAGGCAACCTAAGGTGTGTTTGTTCCATTTTTATTTTATTTTATTTTATTTTATTCCCTATTCTCATTCAATAACCTTTTTTCTGCATGTTTTTATTCAACATTGAGGACAATGTTGATAATAAGTGTGGGGGAGGAGATTTAGTTTTATTATTTGTTTACTTAATTTAGTTTTATTGTTTGTTTGCTTATGTCAAACAAATTTTTATTATTATTTGTTTTCTTATTTCATAATTTTCAAAAAAATATTTTATTAATATTTTATGCAAAATAAGTATTATTTTGAAAAATAATATTTTTTTTCTTTCTTGGAATGCATAACATGATTGAATAAATAGTTTGGCAAGTTGTGATTAGTTTGTTAGCATCTCTTGTTTGATATGTAGTGGCTATATTAAGTAAGCAATAAACCTGTGAGTGTTTTGAGCCACTGACTGACACTTCGGTCTTATTTTTCTTTCTTTTGTGTGATTTCTTCCATAATTTTGTTTCTCTAGAACTTGCCTTGATTCTCTTTTAAAGCTAATTAGACCATGCATGATTCAAGTGTGATTAAGGCCATTATTTGATTTTGAGCCTCACTAGCCAAATAACCGGTTTGTCCCATGATTTATTTTCCTTCGTTAACCCACTTTGAGCTTTATGGCCATTCTTTTCTTTATTTTGAACCACATTACAAGCCTTTTATATCTAAAAATAATGCCTTCACCCAGCTGAATAACTAGTGGAGCAAATTTTGAATTATTCTTGTAATCTACGTGAGGTTGTGAGGAAGAAGTGTGGGGGAGGTCACTTACTTTTGTTAGTATGATTGAGAGTGAGGTGAGTTGTATCTTCGTTGCCAATATGTCGTTGGTCTTCTATGAAAAAAAAAACATGAAAAATTGAAAATTTGAAAAAAATGAAAATGGAAAAATGGAGAATATATGTTTGAAAAAGAAAAATATTGCTGGAAATTTATGAGAAAATGAGAAAGAATCAGCAATTGATTTTGAGTTGAAGTTACTTCTAAATAAACGAAGTAAGGGGGAAATTCTGGTAATACTGAGGAAGCATTCTGTACCTCAATGGGATGTGTTTTTTGATTGGAAATTGAGGGTGTTGGATTACTTGTATTTATTTGTTCCTCTAGTTTGAAGCTTTTGTTTAAGCTAATTTCCTAAAAATTCCCTACCTTAACCCTAGCCCCATTACAACCTGTGAAAAGTCCTTATGATTTGTGTCATGCATGACTCTTGTAGTGGTGATTGAGAAGATATGCAAGCCTATGGTAGATCAATTTTATAGGAATGAACTTGAGTGAAATTTATACCCATCAAACACTTGAGTGATGAGTGATATTCCTGTGAGGGCTTACTTATTTAGTTTTCTCCATTTTCAAACAGGGTGCTAACTTATTAATTGCAGGGTGCTTCAGATTGTTGTTCATGATATGTTATGAGTTTTGGGAATTTCATTTCTATTTACTTCGCAAATAATATTTTTGCTTGGGGACAAGCAAACGTTTTAGTGTGGGGGAATTTGATGGGCATATTTTACACTCATATTTTAGGTACATCTTTATAATATTTTTATATTAATTATTTAATATTATCTAATAATTAGTTCTTTTTATATACATAGTATAATCTATTCTTATACTATATATAATATATATAATATATAATTTATAAGAGTACATACTACGTACTTAATACTATATATATATAATATACAATATAATATATAATATAATATATATAATATAGAGTGCATTATAGTATACATATAATGCGTACTACATTATAATTACTTATATATATATATATATATATATATATATATATATATATATATATATATATTATAAATCTAAACTTTATAATTGATTTTTTCTTTTTTTTACAGGCATGCATCATAATAACATGGCTGGAATTGTGGAAGACTCAGGCATAAGGCAAAATAATAGGAAAAATGAGTGGTAGAAAATGATTGGGAAAATATATAAATAGTTAAGGTTTTCTATTGTAAAATGTTCATTCTTCCCCTCTCGAATATTCTTTAAGGTTGTTATCAATGCCCATTCGCGGCTAATTTCTTGTTTGGTTTAGTGAATTGAAGCCCCGGAGTTCATTACGCTGTAAGGTTATTTATTTATTTTTATTATATATTTTTTATGCATTTGAGTATTAAATATTCTTCTAAGTTATTTGAAATAATTGTGTCATTTAATTGCTAGGGAGACCTACTAGTTATTTATTTGATATAATTATTTGCTATATTAGATAATGTTGTGCTACAAATTACTCTAATATTCAGTAGCAACTGGGTTATTTATTGACGGCTTAGTGATAATTGGACTCGGGTAGAATATTTTCCTAAATTAAATGCAACCGCTTGTGCTTGTGTTATTTAGTTTGTCGGTTTTCCTAGTTCCTATTGCTGCTATTAAATTAAATCTATAGCGCTTGTCTTAGGTTATTTAGTAGTTAGGGGTAATTAAACCGCGTGTGCTTTAGTTACCTACAACTAAGGGAAAACGGAAATGAAATAATTTCACGACAAATATTCAACTGCATATTAATTACTTTATAAATCAATGATCAGTGTTAAACTCCGGTGGTGGATCTTTACTGACCAAGGTTTCTTATTATAAGTGTTTTCGATATATTATTTTCACTGTTTATTCGTTCGATTAAATTTCTCGTTTATTTAATTTCTCTTTTATTTAATATTTATTCTCGATATATTCCAAACCCCCCATTATTTCCTTGAGCACAAAAGTTAAACTAGTTATTCCTCGTGGGATCGATCCTTACTCCCGCTACTACGTTTGTAAGGTTTTAATTTGGGAGCCTACGACAGCTCACCACCTCATTATTGGTCGAATGGAACTGATACATTAGGGCAAAGTAAACTTTGAATCCCTCCGGGCTCGTGACCACCACTCCTCCTCCTGCGCCTTTCTTACTACTCGACCCGTCAGTAGCCAACGTCCACCACTCAGCTTCGGGATCCGCAACTTCAGGGGGTCGGGTATCTCGGGCGGTGCACTCGACCAAGAAATCAGCTAAAGCTTGACCCTTAATGGCTGGTCTTGGTCGGTACTCGATCGCGTACTGGGTCAACATCAACGCCCACTTGACTAGGCGACCGGAAGACGAAGCAGTTCGGAGGACTGGCCCGATCGGCTGATCGGTCAATACGCGAATTGCTCGACCCTGGAAATAGGGATCCAACTTCTTCGCGGCGATGTACAAGGCGTAGACGACCTTCTTTAACCGGGAGTATCGGAGCTCGGGACCATGTAGCGCGTGGCTTACATAGTACACCGGTCGCTGGACCCCTTCCGGATCGGTTCGGCACAGTACTGCGCTTACTGCACGATCGGAAACGGCGAGGTATACGTCTAGCTCTTCTCCGAGCTCGGGCTTTGAGAGCACAATTGGTGACATGGGATACTCCTTCAGCTCATCAAAAGCCGCTCGGCATTCTTCGTCCCAGACGAATCCATTGACCTTTCGCAATACCTTGAAGAAAGGTAAAGCGCGCTCAGCTAACTTGGAGAGGAATCGGCTGAGGGCTGCCAACCGACCGGTCAATTGCTGGACTTCCCGAACGGTAGAAGGTGGTTGCATGTCCAGAATCGCTTTTACTTTGGCCGGGTTGGGCTCGATTCCTCTCTTAGTCATCATATAGCCGAGGAACTTGCCGGTTTGAACCGCAAATGTACACTTGGTTGGGTTCAACCGCAACTGGTACTTTCTCATAATCTGAAAACATTCCCGGAGGTCCCGAGTGTGGTCGGATCGGTCCCGACTCTTAACCAACATATCATCAATGTAAGCTTCGATCGTTCGGCCCAGCAAATCGGCAAAGAGCATATTGACCATTCTCTGATAGGTGGCTCCTGCGTTGCGGAGACCGAACGGCATCATTCGGTAACAATACAGCCCGTCCGGGGTCACGAAGGCTGTCTTGCTCTCATCTTCATGGTGCATCATGATTTGATGATAACCCTTGAATGCATCCATGAAGCTCATCAATTCGGCCCCGGCCGTCTCGTCGACCATCTGGTGGATACTCGGTAGAGGATACGGGTCGAGCGGACAGGCCTTATTGAGGTCGGTAAAATCTATGCACATCCTCCACGCTGGGGGCTTCGGAACAAGAACTATATTAGCCACCCACTCGGGATAAATCACGGGTTGGATGTGCTCGATCGCCGCCATCTTCTTGACTTCCTCTCTAACAAACTCGCGGCGATCGGAAGAAAGGTGCCGGGTTTTTTGCACCACCGGCTTCGCTGCGGGATCGACGGCTAACTTGTGACAAATAACCGACCGGTCGATCCCGGGCATGTCCTCGGGCCCCCAAGCGAAGATATCGGCATACTCCCGAAGTATGGCTAAAATTTTTGCTCGGAGATCAGGGATGAGGGCCCGACCAATCTTGATCTTCCTATCCGGTCGGTCCTCGGATAGGGGAACTTCTTCTATCTCCTCGGAAGGCTCTGGTTGTTCCTTCCGATCTTTAGCCTCTTCTTTGGCTATGGTGTTCACCCGGGAAGACGAACCAGAATCGCGTCTGTTAACCGCTCGGGTGTAACACTTCCTGGCGGATTGGACATGGCCACGGACCACGCCGACCCCCTTGGGGGTGGGGAATTTCATGCATAGGTGAGGCATTGAAATTATCCACCGATCTTCATAATGGCGGGTCGGCCCAAAATAATGTTGTGGACGCAGTGGAGGTTGACCACAACAAATTCTAACTCCGTCTTGGTCGACTTCGGGGCTGTGCCGATCTCGACCGGGAGCGTTATCTTTCCCTCGGGGTAAATAAGAGCCCCGGTAAAGCCAGACAGTGGTACACCGACCGGAGTCAGCTCCTTCCTGTCTAATCCAAGCTTTTCAAACACGTCCAAATAAAGGACGTTCACACTGCTGCCAGTGTCGACCATAACCCTCTGGACGTCCGTCCCTTTCACATCAATTGTGACCACGAGCGCCTCTATGCCGTGGTCACCACTGCTGGGTTGATCTTCCAAGGTGAAGGTTATGGGCTCCATCTTTTGCCTCTTCCCGGTCTCCCGGGAATCCACTATAGCGACCGGGCAATTACTTCGCGGTCGGGAAGCGTCTTCCAATCCACCAAAAATAACGTGGATGGTCGGCTTTCCTGCTGGTCGACTGCTAGATGGAGGGTCAGGGTCCCGTCGGTCATCGCGACGATCATCCCTTCGATCGTCTCTTCGGTCCTGACCCGACCGATCGGAGCGGTGATGAGAGCGCCGCTGTTCTCTCCGATCGGTATTCCTCTTAGGGTCCTCTCTCCTCCCCACACATTTGTCCAACTTCCCTAGATTGAGCAATTCTTCCAACAGTTGGAGCAAATGGGTACACTCTTCAGTGTCATGCCCAGCACATCGATGGTAAGCGCAATGCTTACTCTTGTCAGGACCATCTCGATCGGGATGGGGAAGCTTAATGAGGTTGCAAGACTGAGCATACTGCATGACCTCCGCTGCGGATCGGTTCAAGGCCGTAAACTCACCAGTCCTGGTGCGGGATCGGGGATGGTCATCACCCGATCGGTGTTCCGCCCGGCCGGCCGGTTTACGAGATGAAGATCCGACCTCCTGCGAGCGTTTTACGGCGTTCGCCTCGCCAGCATTGGCATAATCTGTGACCCTTCGAAGGGCCTCCTCATACGTGGACGGGGGGTGTAAAATGAAGTCCTAATATAAATACCCCGCCCGGAGAGAGATGTGTAACATGTGGGTGGCGGTGGCATCGTCCATGGGCTCTACCTCCCCGACCGCCGCCTTCCACTTGGTGAGGAAGTCGGTCAAGCTCTCGCCTTCAAGTTGCTTGGCCTTCTCCAGATACATATAAGGCTTCCTCACCACTTTGGAAGTGATGAACTTCCTCACAAACTTGACCGCCAGGGTGTCAAACCTGTCGATCGAACCCGGCTGCAAAGTTCGGAACCACTCCGCCGCTCGACCGGTAAGCGTGGAATAGAAAGCCCTGCACATCATGGCGTCCGACACACCCTTCAGCGTCATATTGCTGTAGAAATCGTTGACGTGAGCCTCAGGGTCTGATCGGCCATCATAGCTCTTCTCTCCAGAGACCTTTAAATCGAGCGGGTAAGGCTGAGCCATTACCGCCGCTGTGAAAGGCGTCTGGTGCAGGGTCGGTTGTCCAACCGGGGTTGCTGCAGGGTGCGCGTTTCTGAATTGCGCAAATTCTGCCTGGAGGTTATAGAGTAATCCTCGGGTCTCGTTGAGCTCAGCGGCTTGAGCGGCTTGGGCTGTATCCCGAGCGCGTCGTCGTCGGTGAGATCTCGACCCGCTATACCCAGATGAGGCCTCCTGGCTAGCCTCCTGCATCTGTACGTCTTCTTGCCTGCGGTTCGGGTCTTGGGGTCCCAAACGCTGGCGCATCTCCGGTCGAAGACGATCAAAAGCTGCCGCTCGGGCAGTTTCTTCGGGGTCCTCCGCTTGGACGGGAACCTCGACCGCTTGCTGGGCCTGCCCTGGTGCCTCCATCGCATCAGCACCCCCCGACCCCAACCGCGAATGAGCCGAGCGTCGGGCCTGGGAAGCGGACTGACGCTGCGGCTCTACATGTGCGGTCGGTTGTACTGGAGGGGCGGCGGCTGGAGCCGTGTAAGCAGGCGTATATGGTGGATAACCAACCGGGGGAGTGTAGTACATCGGTTGGCTAGGCCAATACCCGTACGGCGGAGGTGGGACTGGGTATGGATATTGGCCGGGATACATCATCGGCTGCTGCTGATATGGCTGACCGGGTGTTGGGTATCCCGGTTGTATGTAGTTCACCGGTTGTTGGGCGACCGGGTATGTGTTAACCGGGTGCGGTGCTGAGAGATTGAGATTCAATTCTACCGTCTGACCTTGCTGTTGGGTGGCGTGGTGCCCAGATGAACTCGCTGCGTCCGCCTGGTCGTCGGCGAAGTTGTTTTGAGCCCACAGATACATGATTGGAAAGGGAGCGGGTGCTCGTCAAGACGTTGCTTTCTCGCACGGATCCCCCATAGACGGCGCCAAAATGGTACTGCTAATTCTACGCAAGCAATATAAAATAAACCCGAGACCAATTAAAGCAAGTAAAAGACTTTATTGATCACGGTAAAGGCCCTAAGTACAATCTACTTAGTTGCTCTGAGTACCGACTGACTGCGGTCGGGATTCTCTAGTAACAACCTATCGATCGTCCAAAAGTCCCCTACACTGTAGCTACTGTGGGTATTTATAGCCGCTGTGCCTGGAGACACGACTCCGGTCGTTCGGCATGTTCTCCACGTAGCCACCACGTGTCATCCTCCCAAGTGCCCTGCCTATCGTCGTAGAGAGCCGCCACGTGTCCTGTACCAGCTCTCTCGCCAAAGGGCTACCGCTCGGTGGTCGACACTACCGCTCGGGCAACTCCCGGTCGGACCCCGACCGGGTTCTTCACACGAAGCCCGACCTGTTATCTGAAAAGACAAAGAAGAAAGAACGAAGGCAGCTTGATCGGGGTAAAGCTTATGTCGGTCGGGATATCTCCTTCCAAAGATGTTATTATATGGAGTGAAACTGAACTGCAAAATAAAATTCAATGTCATGAAGTTAAAATTTTATTTATATAAATATCTATTATAATTGTAAAAATATAAACATTACATTGAAGTGACTCACTTTGCTTGCACTAGCCACTAAGTCGATCAAATTGTCGCGATAAACTCGTTCTACGTGTCCGGGGACAGAACGCCATGAATGCCGGCAATTCCACCTAGGTTTCAAAATAGAACAATAAGTAATTCACACACAATAAAAATTCAAGCATTTAATCAAAGTTTACAACTAACCTTGCTGCAAGTAGCAAATCTCCAAGTAATTCCTGAGGCAAAACGCCTTGTGGCCTAACCATAGGCAATCGCTCTTATGCCCAAATTTGTACCAATAATAAGCATCCGCATACGGTCTTAGTTTCATGATGGGCCCCTCTACACAACGCCCTGTACAGATACGCTAAAGTTGCCGATCCCCAACTATATTGACCGCACTATTCAAAATCACGAATATACTCAAGCAAAAATAATTTCATATCTGTCTTATTTGTTTCGGGGAATAGAAATCCTCCTAATAAGTGAAACATAAGTATCTGCGTGGCTTTTTTCACCTCAAAATCTGAGCTGTTAGACATGAGTTTCGGAACTTTGGGTACGACTTTGGATTTTTGGGGTGTCACAAGAATATTCAATACATGGTGATAACTACTCATTTTATGGACATGGACAGTAAGGTGCATAAAAGAGTTCAAAACTTTGTTGAGGTGCTTTCCCTCATACCGGTACATGTGTTTGTGATGCAATATACAAATGCTTGCAAGGATGGGGTATTGAAGAGGAAGTGCAGACAACCACGGTGGATAGTGCCTCCTATAATGATTCAGTTATGAGGTTGTTGCATGACTCTTATTCTTTTCATACAACTTTGCCACTAGATGATAAGTTGTTTTATGTTCATTTGTGCACACACACATATTGAACATTCTTGTGCAAGATGGCCTTTATGAGATTAAGTCTTAGCATTGAACATGACAGAAATAGAGTCAAGTATATTAGTGTCTCACCTCAATGATTGCATAGTTTTAATGAGATTTGCAAACAGTTTCAGGTGCCTAGCAAGAAGTTGATTTTAGATTGTTGCACTAGGTGGAATGCAACATTTGCTATGTTGTCTTGTGATTTGAATTTCAAGCAAGTATTCCCTTGGCATCAACTTCGAGATCCAAATTACAAATGATTTCCTTCTGATGATGATTGGCAAAGAGTTGAAGAGATTTGCTCTTTACTGATGCATTTCAATGGAGTTATCAAAATTATCTCAGGTAAATTATTATACAGTTAAATTTATTTATATTATAACTATCATATGATTGTTATATATAAATGACAAAATGAAAGAATAAATGAATATATATGTATATATGTATATGTGTGTGTGTGTGTATATATATATATATATATATATATATATATATATATATATATATATATATATATATATATATGTGTGTGTGTGTGTGTGTGTGTGTGTGTGTGTGTGTGTGTGTGTGTGTGTGGGGAAGGGTTCTAGAGCGGAGATGGCTTCCCGTGTCGTTGACGCATCTTAATCATTATAATGACGCACCTTAAGCACACAAATAAAGCACCTTAAGAACACAAACCACACACATTAAGCACACAAATAAAGCACCTTAAGAACAAAAATCACGCGCACCTAAAGCTTTAGGCCGACGCACCTTAAGTACACACACCACACACCTTAAGTACACAAACCACGCATCTTAAGCACACAAACAAAACACCTTAAGAATACAAACCACGCACCTAAGGTTTTAAAATGATGCACCTTAAGTTTCACACAACTGACGCACCTTAAGCATACAAATCGCACACCTTAAGAAGGAAAACCACGCACATTAAGCTTTAGGTTGACGCACCTTAAGTTTCAACACTGACGCACCCTAAGCACACAAACCACGCACCTTAAGAATGAAAATCACGCACCTTAAGAAGGAAAACCACGCACCTTAGCAACCGCACTTGAGAAAGTCAACCACACGGGAACCCATTTCTATATATATATATATATATATATATATATATATATATATATATATATATATATATATATATATATATATTGTTGTGTTGTTTGTTTGGTTATTGTTTGTGAATATAGATTATTTATTGTTCACGAACGAATTGTGATCATGAACATAAGCATGTGTTTGGTTATTAAGTGTTCATGAACGCTTAACGAACACTAATGAACGTTTAACAAACGACCACGAACAAAATTTTTAAAGTCCTTAACAAATGAACACGAACACGAACACTCTACAAATCTTAACAAACGAACATGTCCGTTCGTTAACAACCCTAGATGCTGGATCCATAATTTAAATATCTCATGCTTTATGTTTTTATGTTTTGGCTTGTCATGTGAACAAACAAATTATGTGTGTGTTTTTATTTTATTTGATATTTTATTTTGATATTAGATGCTACGATTGGACTTACTCAGTTATTTGTATTAGTTTTGTAGTTGTGTTGTTTGTTTGGTTATTGTTTGTGAACATTGATTATTTCTTTTTTCACGAACGAATTGTTATTATGAACATGTGCAAGTGTTTAGTTATTAAGTGTTCACGAACGTAAACGAACATGTTCGTGAACGTGCTTGTTAACGAACATGTTTGTCTTCACGAACATGTTTGTTAACGTTAACAAGCACATTCATGAACGTGTTCGCAAACGTTGTCAAACACTAACGAACACTTCACAAACGAACACGAACAAGATTTTCAAACACCTTAACAAACGAACACGAACAAAATTCTTAATAAACGAACACAAACAACCTCCGTTCGTTCGGTTCATTAAAGCCCTGTCAAGCAATGTTAAAAAAGATGCTAGGCGCCCCCTAGGCGTCCAATTTATTTATTTATTAATTTCTTTTTTAAAAAAAAAATCAACATTAGTCTTTTTTTTTTTTTTTTTTTTTTTTTTTTTTTAAATTCAACATTAGTCTTTGCGTGAGTGTTGTTCCCATAAGTAAAAAGTCTAATATGAAGTTTGTTCCCACCCTCACTGCCTCACATCTCTGAAGTCTAATCTTTTTCAAGAGTCTCAACCTTTAATTTTATATCAAAGCATCATCTCTCTAATTCTCTCAACAGTCTGAAGTTTGTTCCCATCTACTCCTGAACCAACGACTGGCAGAGGAGCGTGGTCCGATGACTGGCGGTGGAGCGTGGTCGCATAGGGTGGCGCTTCGGCAAACTGCAGATTGACAAGGTGTTACATGGGTGGCGCTTTGGCATACTGCAGATTGGCCGAATGGGGGAGAAGAGACTGCTTTAGTGCTTCTGAGTTCTGATTCTTCGCAAAAACCCATCTAACCCGTACTATAAACCCATCTAACCCCAGAGCCAAGGCGGAGGCAACCAACGGATGGGCATGGTCACGTGGGGTGGCAGAGACTACCTTTGACTTCTGACTTTCTAAATAACAATTCTTCGCAAAAAAAAATAAAAAAAAAATGAGACAGATCGACCAGTTAAGCAGTCTAGGCCCTAGGCGCCCGGCCGCGGATGAGGCCGATTCCGACCTTCCTCGACACCGCCGGACGCCGCCTAGCGCCTAGGCGCGATTTTTACAACACTACTGTCAAGACACAAGACCCGGCATGACAATCCAAGAGGTCAAAATCATGTTTGCATTAGGCAACCACAAGAAACAGACTATAATCAGAAAATCTGCGTCAAAATCCACCAGGACAAGACTCAGAGGAATTGAATCAGGAATCCCTATCCACCCAAACGAACAACTTATTTTAGTGTCTTCTGCTACAACAAAATAGGTTCAGTCTTTTACATGACACTAATGATTTTGAGCTGTTGCAATGACAGTGATTTGCGTTCAATTCCATCAATGTACAAAAACAAAAGTGATCTTCCCTCTTCTTGTACTAATGTCTTCAGTTTGCTCAATAGAAGTAGCCAAGAACTTGACCGCCTACATTTTGCCGAATTGCTTCTTCATGATCAAGAACTCCATTTGGTGTTGTAATCACAACATAGCCCCACTGTATTGCAGAGATGTGTATTAGTCAAATTAAAAGAATAAAACAAAAGGTAATAACAAGAGGGGTAAAGGAAAGAACGCATAGCACCATTAGCGATGGCAATGGGTTAGGGACATCAACCACTCGACCCACCCCACCCCGGACCTGTAGTGAGTGGATTTTTTTTAAACCCACCCCCAATCCACCAGATGCGTGTAACCACTGCTTATTATCTTATTAAAAGTTTTTAAAAATAATAATAATACTCCGTAATATTTAAATGATTTATACATAATAAAATTTACTAATTCTATTAAAACGTAAAATAATAAAAATATTCAAACATAATAACTAAATTGTTAATTTTTTTCAAATAAACTTATTAGTTTAGAAATAAAATTAGTAAAAATTACATACATATAACATGATGGGTCAGGTGGGATTATATGCGGGTTTTGTATCTAAAACCCGCATCCGCCATCCAACCCAACTCAACCCACTGGGCGTTTAATTTTTTAAGACCCACAATTTGCTATCAACCAAAAAAACCCAATGCATGTGGGTTGGATATCTACCAGGCAGATTGAAATTGCTATCCCTAAGAATCATATTAGGATAGCCATAGTTTTAACTACCAGACATTAGGTCAAGGAAAACTAAAACCATGATGAATATCATCACATCTTTTATGATTTCTACTAGGCAATTATAAAATTACATATAATAGAGAATAAATCTAGTTTTGCAAAGTCAACAAAAAGGAACATCTAATGCACAAACTTCACTTTGATCAATGTTAGCATTTAAACCATAGCAAAACTGGCTTAGGACAAGTAAACTAGTTTCATAACAAGAAAACCAGCACTAACAAGAAAACAAAAAGGATATAAGAATGCAAAGTATGTCATGAGTTTTAAATGAAGCATAACTACTAAAATATACAGATTGATCCTCATGGCTTCACTGATACAACAATGAAAACTTCTAACTTGTATTCTAATTATGAAAGTTTCACATGATGGCACATTCCAAATTAACAGTTCAAGTAATAGGTGACAAAGACACTGAAGATCCATTCACCACATGTTATACAGCTATATCTTAAACAACATATTCAAGGGCATGAGCAATATAAAGCTATATTTAGGTGGTTCTGTCACTCAGTGCACTCACAATTGTTGCATACTGAGTCAAAAGTGAGCACTCCATCACTTAAAGAGGATGAAGTAATGCACACAAGAAGAAATCACTCCAAACCTGTAAAGTGAAGCGATTGCTTGATGTCTGCACTATGCAACACTTTTCTTGATAAAGCTCACTTCTGCTAAATTTGCTAAAAATAAACCCCCAATCCCCTGAAATTAGCCTCAAATTATTAAGTATTCTAAAAGATAACCACAAGCCCCTAAAACTAGGCAGTAAATTGACTTAAAATTTTTGCATCTCTCTAAAAAATTGCTCCACAAGTTGCCAGGTATGGATCCCCTTTATTATTACATATAATTCTTATTTCCATTTCATTTTATGGATAATCCCAGGGCTGGTCAAAATCCATATCCTAGTCAAGCTCCTGTTTTTCCACTCTCTAATTATTGGCTTCTTCTCTAAACCTCTCTGTTCACTTACTTTTCTAAACAACAATAATGTTGGCTTTTGTTGAACTAAAATTACAATCATGTGAACATGGTTTTTAAATGGTATGCATGATTTTCATAATAATGTATATAGTTCTACTTGATGAAACACTTATATGTTGTTTTAAAGAGCAACTGTCACTGTTTAACATATAAAATTACTAGTTTGAGACTTTAAAAACATCTTTTACACCTTTGTCTCTCTTTGTGGGAAACTGTTTGATTCGATTTGCACTTTAAGCCATTGAAGTCCTATTGCTTTATTGTGCTTTGTGCTCTAAAATACATTGACTTGAATAGATTAACAATGGTAAAGAAGAAGCAGTTGTACTTAATAAGAGAATATAACTCAACATATTAGCAAGTGGTGCAAAATATGAGTTGAAGGGAGAAGTGGCACATCAATAAGCAAGTTACTAATCATTCATGTATATTAATGGTCTAGAAGAAAGATAAATCACCTATACTAAAATAAACTAGTCATTAACTGTTAAGCTTGAAGACCCAATTTACAAGGCCAGTCCAGATTTCTTGATTTAAACCATTTAATTATAACACTCAGGCTAAAATACAACGATCAAAAGAAAGAACACAGACCTGACGAGTTGGTAAGGTACTTTTTGCATAATTCTCAATGTTCTGAGCTTTGATATCTTGTCTATACGAGATAGCACGGCAATCATTGACCCTTCCGAGCAATTGGACAGTTATCTTCCCAACTCTATGAGGGTCCTCTACTTCGAAGTCTTTAATATACCCTAAAAATGGAGCACAATTGTAAGCCATTCAGAAATTAAAAGGAAAAAAAAAAAAAAAAAAAGTTATCAGTATCAATGCATTGAAATTAACAACTCTGAACCGCTAAGTTCAGAATCATATCAAGTAATTAAGTCTAGCTTCATCAACACAAGGCATTCAAACGTAGATTTTTAAATTATTCATCCAAATTACTGCTATCAATGATCTAACAAAGAAACCAAAGAAAAATGCAGAAAGAAGTGGTTGCTAGTTTTTGGCAAAATGTATGAACCTGCAGAAACAATTTGAAATAATAATAGCAGACAGAAATCCTACCTCGATATTTCATAATCTGAAGGAAATTAGCCATGACATTGGATACGGGTTGAAGTTGGGCAGACGCAAACCCTCTCTTCTCAGCATTGACGATCGTCCTCAATGCGTCATTCAGTATTCTCCTCCCCATTTCCACCACTGCTTGTGTCGTAAGTCTGTTAGTCTGTTAGTCATGGGACTAAAGTGGAATTTTCTCAAATAATCTGTTGGTAATACATCCTTGGAATGACATGCTTTACGCAACTTTAGAGAAGATAGGAAATAAAAGAAAAAAGAGAAGGGGAGCAATCATCATTGTCTTTTTGTTGTTGCTCATGCACATTGTGATTTGTGAGCTCTCATCCATCCCAATTATATTAGCCTGAGATGAGATTTATGCAAGTGCAGGTGGCATTCATACATCACTAAATTACAAGAATAACCACCCTGTGTACGTGCTTGCAAGTTGTGTTTCTAGCATTTTTTTAATCTGAGAAGTACAACAGGTAATATAAAATTACAGTTCTGATTTCTGCTCATTCACTGTCAAAGGAAATCAGCCTGCCATACACCAAAAGAGATTTTCTAATTGACCTTCAATATCGTCAACAGTATACTTGTAACAGAACATAGGATCTACCTACTTATAAAATTTTATGGAGCACATCTCAAGTAATGCGTAGACAAAATTAAAGCAAAAGTAATGCATAGAAAATTCTGCAAAATCACAGCAACCCATTCTTGATAGTCTTGAATTAATATAATTAAGAATTATATATACTATATACGGAGTAATTCATAATCTATATTTGATGTGATTTTTCCTATGGTTACTGACTTACTGTGAGTAGACAATGCTTGATATGGTGTAAGTTTATATTAATAGATTCACAATCTGCGCTTGGAACAAATTAAAACCAAGAAATGCATACTTAATGAAGAATTATTATGAAGCAAATTCAAACAAAAATTAAAAAAAAAATAAAAATTATAACATATTTGAAAACCATTCTGTAATTCTACGCTTTCTGAAATGAGCAAATTAAATTTGAATCCACAGGTCTTGCCCCAACTGGGATTATGAATCCTTCCTGTCTCCACAGGGAATCCCAGTTCCATATTCAAACACAGGAAATATCAAGCATCAAAACTAATAATCTCTCACAGGAATTATGTCGAACACATGGTGGGTATTTGAAACATAGCATACTCCCTTCCCAAATCTGACGCTTTAATTCACCAAAGCCTATCTTAAGAAAATTAACGGTCACCCACTATCCTTTCTGCATTTTCGTGTTCTTACAATCTTACATATCAATTTTAGCATTATCATACGAGATGTAACTCTATAAACTCCTCAGAAAACTTAAATAGCGACAATCCTCTGAACATGAAGAAGGGGATATGTTTAAGAAAGACAACAGTGACAAGAACAAACATGGAACAGCAGCCTATGCCATCCTAGATTCGGAGGTCGTTAATTGTAAGTCAGTCTCCTTTTCGACAGGTTCATCCTTTCAGAAAAGATTAACTCAATGTGGTAAGGGGAAGACTCACCTGAGATGGAGTTTGATAATATGCTATTCAGGTACAGTGTGGCGATGGCGTCTGTCCGGGATGGCGATGTTGTCTGCCGAACGCTGTATGAAGAAGCGGAGAACAGAGAAGGGTATTATAGAGACTAGAGAAGTGCCATCTCAAAGTTTTGGGTTTAGGGGTTAGGGTTAGAAAATTACTGTATCTCCTAGGTTTTGATATGCATAGGGACAATATTTCATTGATGAATAAGTAGATTATTAAATATTAATTACTCCGTATTATTTAACATATATAATATATAATAATCTAAAAAGTAAAAACTAATAAGTGTAAATAAATAATGTTATACATTTCATTTATGTCCTTTTTTTTCGTTATTTTTTTTTATACATTATGTAATAAGAGTTGTATTATACAATATTTTGGTTAAAAATACACATACAGTTATGACTTCCGTTATCTTTTTCAACTATTATTGCCATGCACATATAGCCATAATATTTTTTTTTTTTAATTTTCTTCAATGGTAATAATATAAATATTAAAAATTTAAATAAATTTAAGATTTTTAATATAAAGTATTAATATTGGACATCGATATTTGCGCATCACGCATAGATAATACTAGTAATAATATAATAAAGTTCATAAGATCTAAAAAAATATGTGTTATTGTACGGAGTCTAGTTAAAGGTAAAAGTTTATAATATATTGATCTGAATAGTAAGATCGACCACTAGGACTATGTGGTCTAATGGTACTCGGGTTGGACTTCCATTTGGAAGATTATGAGTTTGAGCCTTAATGGAGGCGTTATTGGTTTTTTGTGTTTCAGTAGCTTGAGAAAGTATATGAACAGATACTACAACTTAATAGAGCCAGTAGCTTTTCTTATTTTCTTCGGTTGCAAATTTTAGTTAAAATGACATATTAAGGGGGTGTTTGGTTGGATGGAATACATTTTCCATGGAAAATGTTTTCCTGCTTTTCTTAGGGTGTGTTTGGAAACCTGAAAAATGAGTTCTGGAAATCATTTTCCAAGTTTCCATTGTTTGGATGTGCTTGGAAAATCAAGTCAACGGAAATCATTTTCCGTTGACTTTGGAAAATAGGCTTGATTTGGAGGAAAATGACTTCCCATTTTACAACTACCAAATAGGCTTGATTTGGGGGAAGTCATTTTCCAACTTTTACACCAACATCATCAACACCATACCACCACCACCTCACTACCACCATCACCACTACTACTACCGCCGCCACCACCACTATACCACCGCAACCACACCACCACCATCACTCCACCACCACTACCACCACCAACACCATACCACCGCAACCACTACCACCACCAACACCATCAACACCATACCACCACCACCACCATATCACCGCAACCATCGTCGTCGCCACCACCACCACACCACCGCAACCACCGTCACCACCACCACCATCACACCATCGCCGCCGACACCACCACCACCATCACACCACCACCGCCGCCACCACCACCATACCACCGCAACCACCGCCACCACACCATCACCACCACCACCACCACCACTGCCACCGTCGTCATACCACCACCAGTTATTTTCTTCGGTTGCAAATTTTAGTTAAAATGACATATTAAGGGGGTGTTTGGTTGGATGGAAAACATTTTCCATGAAAAATGTTTTCCTAAAAGTGAAAGAAAATGATGCTTTATGTTGTTTGGTTGGATGGAAAACATTTTCCATTGAAAAAAGTTTTCCTTAAGAGCAAGGAAAACAAATTCCTAGCTTATGCTAGGTATTTTGTTTTCCATGGAAAACCTTTTCCATGGAAAACTAATATGACAATTTTACCCTCATCATTCTTTATTAATTACTCTTATTATTATTATATTATTATTGTTGTGTAGGGTTATATTGGCCATTATACTCATTATTCTTTACCATTCCAAACTCAACCAAACAATGGAATTCATATACCCAGTAATTTCTTTTCCACCAACCAAACAATGGAATCTGTTTTCTTAGAATTTATTTTCCATGGAATTTCAATTCCATTTCCCTTCAAATATTTCCCAGCGAACCAAACGAGCTGTAAGTATATTTTGTAGTACAAATATATGTGGGGTCCGTTTTCAATTTGGGTTGTGATAGTTGTAGTATGCGTGGGATGGAAAGAAGGTTTGAGAACGGTGAAACTTCCGCGGAATGTCATTCTCTAAGGATGGCTAATGGGAATTGAACAATGCGAGGCTAAGCACAAGTGCGTAAGAGTCGTAGAAAGCTAGGTCTCAAGAACACTATCAAAGTAACAAGTAAAGTGAAGCAACAAGTAATTGTAAAGAAGCAATTAAGTCAATGGAGGGGACTAAGTAGGGATGACAATTCTACCCGCACCCAATGGGTTCCCCGCATCCCCGCCCCTACGGGTTTTAAAATACCCGCACAATTTGGATAATGGGTGCGGGTATGGGGCGGGTGTGGGGGAGTATCCCGCCCCTCACCCACACCAGCACTTATATATATTGTTATTTTTTTTTTTGAAAAATATATATTGTTATTAGTATTCATTTATTACATAAGTTTTTTATATTTTATAATTAAAATTGTATAATAATTAAAGTTCTTAGTTTTTTGTTTATGAAATTTGAATAGGAACAACACAAATAACATAATGAGTAAATACTTAATACAATTTATACTACCAACACAATTTTAGTTCCAAATAAGGACTAACTTCATTGGCTATTATTAAATTTTATAGCTATGTTCAAACTTATATAAAAATCCATGTGATAATTAGAATTGTAATATAAAATATTTATTAGATTTAAGTGTAATATTAATAATTAGAGTTGCGGGTTGGGTATTACTCGCACCCGCACCTGCAAAACCCTTGCAGGGGCGGGTATGAAGTAGGAATTTCATTACTCGCGCAAGTGTGGGTGCGGGTACGGGGAATGGGTTGGGAATGCGGGTGCGGGGCGGGGGATATATCCCCTGCACCCATCCCGCTCCATTTCCATTCCTAGGACTAAGACTAGGTGTTCCTTGATTGGGTGCAACAGAATGGCCCTAAGTAGGAGTGTTAACGAACAAAGCTTTTGGTAAATTACTCGTGTTCGTGTTCGGTAAGCGTTCGTTTATGTTCGTCTATTAAGGTAAAAGAACATTAACAAACAAATTTAGAGCTCGATTTATAAAAGAACAGAGTCTGAACAATTGTAAGCTCGTTTGCTAAGAGATCGTGAACAAGCTCATTTGTATTCGTTTGATATTTGTTTGTATCCTCTTTGTACTTGTGTTACTTGTTTGGTTATTTTTCGTGAACATATATTATTTTTTGTTCATGAATGAATTGTGATCATGAACATGTTCATATATTTGGTTATTAAGCATTCACGAACGTGTTTATGAACATGAACGAACATGTAGGTTTTTGTGGCTATTGCACCCGGGAGGTGTGCATCTGATTGGTAAATCTTTTTCTTACTAGTTAAGTGACCAGAATGTTAAATTCTGTAGAGTCACCATGCCGCCGCGACGAAATTTCTGAACACTAGAACCTCAGGAAACCCAAACTTCTTCCCGTGAGGAGCTGGCCCAAAGTTTTCAACAATTAACACGTCTAACGAAGGCCCTTGGGAACGCCTTACTGCACAACACCAACAGTGGTAATGAAGTGGCACGGAGCGTGGCAGCCCGTCATCTTCCACACTTCTTCGATCAGGAAGATTCCCGTGTTTTGGAAGACTGGATCCAGACTTTCGACAAGTTGTTCGATGCTATCAACTGCCCTCCTGATCAGAGAGTTGACATTGCTGCACACTACCTTCAACAACAAGCTGACAATTGGTGGATTACTGTGGGACGGTGCTATGACAACGACCCGACTTTAGTTGGGAGGGATTTAAGGCGGAGATGAGGGAGCGGTTTTACTCGGAGCACGTTAAGGCTGCTATGTATGAGGAGTTCCTACATTTAAAGTAAGGGAGCAAAACAGTACAATAATACTATACTTAGTTTCTGGAGTTGGCCCAATTTTCTCCTACCTTAGTCTTGGATGAGATGAGATGAGTAAAACACGAAAATTTATCACCGGCTTGAACTATGAAATATAGAAGTTAGTAATTATGTTTGAAGGTCAGACCTTGAATGAAGCCTATAACAGGGCCGCTCGTCATTTCCGAATATAAGAAATCTAAAGAGATGCTTAAGGCAAGCACAAGAGGATGGTGGATGAGGAGATTTAGCAAGGAGAGAAGAGACCCAAGTTTGGTCATCCCGAGCCATTCAAGAACTTTCAGAAAGGCAATGGTAGTAGTAATTGGAAGGATCGTCAGACTCATGGACAGAATTCAGAGTGGGGAGCTCAGACCTGAGGCAGAAACTACCATTGTCATGGATGTAGGAAAAACCACCTGGCCAAGGATTGTCGTGGAAACTTGATCAAGTGTTATATCTGTGGCCGAATGGGCCATAGAGCTTTCGAGTGCTTTAGCAGCCAGGATGGGAGGACCCTGAGTCATGGCCCTAAGGGGAACGGGAACCAGCTGAGAAGAAGCCCATTTGGGAACAAGTCCAAAAACAAAAATGCATCGGTGGTAGGGGAAACACTAGCAATATCAGGGGCAATGGAAGTGGAAGTGTCAACAGGATCCAGGGTGGCAGCGGTGGTACACCGCAGGGTTGGATCAATGTGATGATTAGAGCATAGTCACAGAGCGGCGATGTGGTTACAAGTATATGTCAAGTGAACTCTATCCCTGCGTTTGTACTATTTGATTCTGGAGCATCCAACTCCTTTATATCATCTTTGTTTGTTGAAAAATTGGGGGTAACACCAACTTTTAATATAGAATTAGGGGTAAGGACTGCCTTAGGAAGAGTAGTACCCTGTGGAAACGTGTATGAGAATTTACCCATCACCATAGTTGGGGTAGAGTTTCCCGGGGATCTTATCCAGTTTGACCTAGAGGAGATAGATGTAGTGTTAGGGATGGACTGGTTCGGCAAATACAAGGCCAACATCTTGTGTAATGAATAGAAGGTAGTATTGAGGAATCTTGAAGGGAAGCGTGTATCTTACCGAGGGGTCACGAGTAAACCCGCGGTGAGGTTAGTGACCATGCAGATGATGAAGAAATATGTAATTAAAGGGCACAAGACCTATTTATGCACGATCAAGGACTTGGACATTGAATAGGGAGGGATTGATCGGATTCCAGTGGTTAGAGAATTTCCAAATGGGTTCTTGGAAGAAATACCAAGTATGCCGCTAGAGCGAGAGGTGGAGTTTGCAATCGACCTGTTGCCTGGCACTACGCCTATATCCAAGGCACCTTACAGAATGACGCCCAAAGAGATGTAAGAACTAAAGGAACAGTTGCAGGAGTTATTGGATAAAGGCCACATTAAACCGAGTGTGTCACCATGGCCCATGGGGTGTACCCGTGTTATTCGTGAAAAAGGATGGTGGACTCTGACTTTGCATAGATTACCGAGAACTGAACCAAGCAACTATCAAGAATAAATACACACTACCTCGCATTGAAGACCTGTTTGATCAACTCAAGGGAGCAAGGACTTTTTCAAAGATAGATCTAAGGTTAGGCTACCATCAGTTGAAAGTAGCTGAAAAAGACATACCTAACACTGCGTTCCGTATGAGGTACAAGCATTACAAGTTCACGGTGATGCCTTTTGGATTAACAAATGTGCCAGCTGTTTTCATGGACCTTATGAATTGGGTATTCCGACCTTACCTAGATCAATTTGTGGTGGTATTCATCGGCGATATCTTTATATACTCTAAGACCCCCAAGGACTATGAAAAACACCTAAGGATCGCACTGCAGACGCTGAGGTATAATCAACTTTATGCCAAGCTATCGCAGTGTGAGTTTTGGAAAGATAATGTGGCATTTCTAGGACATATTATCACCAAGGAAGGGATATCCGTAGATCCAGCAAAATTCGCGCTGTGATGGATTGGTGTGCACCTACTTCTGTCACCGAAGTTAGGAGTTTCTTAAGATTGGTAGGATACTATAGAAGGTCTGTGTAAGAATTTTCAAAAATAGCCAGACCTATGACTAACCTCATGAAGAAAACCACGAGCTTCCTATGGGATGAAGATTGTGAGAAGGCCTTTTTAGAGTTAAAGCGCGCTTTGACTATAGCGCCAGTGCTGACACTACCATCATGGACCAAAGGATTTGAGATCTTTAGTGATGCATCAAAGAAGGGATTAGGTTGTGTGTTAATGTAGAATGGGAAGGTTGTAGCTTATGCATCAAGACAGCTGAAGAGTCATGAAGTAAATTACCCTACTCACGATGGAACTCGCAGTAGTTGTTGTTGCCTTAAAGATTTGGAGGCATTACCTTTATGGCGTACAATGCAAGATCTTCACTGACCACAAGAGCCTCAAGTACATTTTCACATAGAGAACTTAATATGAGACAACGGCGATGGCTTGAGCTTATCAAAAACTATGACTTATTAATTCAATATCATGAAAGAAAAGCCAACGTTGTGGCAGATGCATTGAGCAGGAAGTCCATACACTCACTTGATTCTACTTGGATACTACCAGATGGGTTGTGTAGGGATTTTCAAAGACTAAATCTGGAAGTAAAGGATCAAGGGATGGTTGAAGACGAAATGAAGTTGTATACCATGACAATTGTACCATCCTTGTTTGATGATATAAGAAAGGGACAATCAAGAGATGTTAAACTGGAAAGAGTGAGGGCAAAGATGGTAAATGGTAAAAAGGGACCGTTCAAGTTGCATAGTGATAGTAGTATTAGATATCGAGGCCGATGGTGCGTACCAATGAAATGTGAAGGATTAAAAAGACAAATCATTGAAGAGGGACACAACACCCCATGCTTGGTACACCCAAGGGTTAACAAGATGTACAAGGATCTCAAAAAGCATTTTTGGTGGCCAAAGATGAAAAAGGAAGTAGCGGAGTTCATAAGCAAATGTCTAAAGTGCAAAAAACTCAAGGATGAGAGAAGCAAACTCAAGGGGCTAATCCAATCATTAGAAGTTCCGAAATGGAAGTGGGACTCTATCTCTATGGATTTTGTTGGGGGACTACCACTCACTAAATCTGGGAAAGATAAGATATGGGTTAATATGGACAGACTGACCAAAACCGCAAGATCTATTGCTATGAAAGAAACATGGACTATGAATTAGTTGGCTAAGGCCTATGTGAGTCAAGTCGTCAAATGCCACGGATTGCTGCACGACATCGTATCAGATAGAGACTCAAGATTCTTGTCACAGTTTTGGAAGGCTTTGTAAACAGCTATGAGAACAAAGTTGAAGCTGAGTACCGCTTTTCATCCTGCTACTGACGGGCAGACCGAGAGGACTATTCAGACGTTGGAAGATATGTTGAGAGCATGCGTGTTGGACTTTCAAGGATCTTGGGATGAACACCTGGACTTGATTGAATT